TACATATGAGTTGTTGCCCAGCAGGTACATGAAAATGACTCCCGTGAAAAATAGAGCAAAATTCCCCCACCTAGCCCCATTTTACTTGGCCTCTTACCACTAATGAGAAAAAGAAAGAATTAATGTCATTGCACTTGAGTATGCCTCTTTATTTTCATTATCAAGTGTCAAAATATTATACATGAAGACTTTGGGAGAAGTTGAGTGGCTAAATGGGTGACGCGATTCAATGGATTGGGGCACTATTGAATGCAAATTCCATTCTAAAGTTCTGTATGTAGGGACCAAATCTCATCATTGTATATGAGGCTCAAAAATAATTTTCTTTGGTCCGTTCAGTTCGCTAATTTAAAATTTTAATTCGAGTTGAGATGTGATGTTATGTGAGAGCTTTTTATTGTAGTAAAAAAATTAGATGTAACTATTTCTGAGAGTTTTTTACTGTAGCAAAACTCGAATCAGCAAAATGAACGGGGCCTTAGTTAAAACTTTTTCAATTTTTTATTAGCGTCAAGTGACCGTTACTTTTTATTATTATTATTGTTGTTATTATTATTCAATAAATAAAAATTAAGATGTATGATTATTTCAACCCATTTCAAAGCATATTACATAGTTCTTCTATAGAGTAGCCTCCAAAATCACTACTATAAATTATGAGTTCTAGTTTCTATATGGATCTGAGAACCAAGGACCAAAAAGAACAGAATTCTAAGCAACCAAGCTAAGAAATGACATTTTGCATCAGCCATGTTACTTTTACTACGCCAAATGTGCACTAACATTTGTCTGTGCTCAAAGTAGATCTTAGCCACATGATTGTCTTATCATTGGCTGGCTAGAATATACTCAGAGAAAAAAGGTGCAAGGGCAAAGGAATATGACTACTTTTTGAATCATAAAATGGAAATGAATATTTTCAAGTTCAACCAAACAAATTCAAATGAATCATTAATCACAGAGAACCTCACCAAATACAAATAAAGTTTTTGCACCCCCACTAATTATTTTATTGTTTCAACTAATCTTACCAACCTCTCCAGTTTCTCTCCATTCACAAGTTTGTATTCTTCTGCTGATTCTATCAGAACAAAGCCAACTTCCCCAGAAGAAAATACTTCTTAGGTTTAAATTATATTGCACAACAAATTAAACACTTTCACGATTCAAATCCGGGTAGTTACGATGGAAATTTTAAAATTCAGGGACTAAAGTGGTGACAATCTTAAGTTCTAGACACATGAGTCCTAATAATCCTAAATAATTCTATACAGTTCAACAAAGCTTGCTGTTAGAGACAACCGAATTGTTAAATTCCGGGACAGAAATTAACATATCTATTTTTAGTGCTTAGTTGGTCTATACACAACTACTCCAAATGCTCACAAGAAAAATGCTTAAGCAATTGTTCAAGCAACAGTTTTTATTTAGGATGCTGCTATCTGAAAATGAATACAATAAAATTTGTCAAAGATACCCTTGAAAAAAGGTGAGGATTCCTTAATCAGCAACAAAATCATATTGCCACTACCTTTTTTACATGATTGAAATCAAAGGAACATGATTTCTCATAGAATCTAGAATTAAGAAGTACCATCAAGAGATTAGGTTTGGATTTATTTATTTTATTGCTCTGCAACATGATTAAGCTAGCACTAATTCTAAAATAATTGAATATGAGAACCAAACCAAACCAACCAACCTGCATAACCAATTAAGCTAAAGCCCAAACCACACATAATAGAGCCAATAGTGTTGCCAGCCAAAAAGAGTCAAAAATTGTGAAATAGAAAGTCAAAAGGTACAATAATCAAATTGGTATAATTGTCAACATCAAATTTGATGATGCTTAAAGGAGTAAAGGAAAAGTTTTTTTTATTGCAGAAATGGACCAATTGGGATAACATCATATGTTTAATGGGAGGATATGCAATACTAGGTGAGAGTAAAATACCAGTATTTTTAGAATGATTGTTCCCACTTAGGAAAATCTTACTTCAGACACGAAATCTACAAATTATTCAGACAGAAGAAAGAGGTTTTACTCTTGCATCAAAAGTCAACATATCAGATAAACTAGATATCAAATCTGCTTCACTTTAATAGTTGGTTCTGATTGCATGATTTCTAAGAAGTATTTCATTTTGTTTGTAGATTGGAATCACAATTCAATTTTTGTGTTTTCTCGTAAAAATTTAATTTTCAATTCAAATTTTCCACTCAGATCTATGAAAAGAACACCCAATCTAACTTGTTAGAGGAGTCACCCACAGGGTCAGTTTAATTTTCATATATGCCCAAATATTAGCATGAATCAGAAATTATGACATGCTTTACAGGGTCAGTTTTTTATTTCTTTTAGGGGTTGATAAGTAGAAGAGGAATTGGACAAAGATATAATTGTACTAAAAGCTAGACATTTTTTAGTGGAGATATTATGTCAGAGCATTCTTCTGATCCAAGGGAGCCACATGTGCTTCCCAGCTAAATACTCTTTTTTTTCTTTTTTGCAGATGTTAACAGTGTCACCTCACAGAGTACCCCAAAAAAAAAAGTTTGAAACAAATTTTCTCAACAATCCAATATATGCAGAATACTAAGTTTAGACACTAATTTTACTGAACAAAAATTGTAATTCTGTACTTTGTATTTCTTGATCAGAACCGCATGCCAAGTTCACTGCATATGTAATGTGACTAGAAATGATCTTTCTAAATTCTGAGTAACATCATAAGTGAAAAAAGAGAGTTATAAAGATGATGATGATGATTTAAGATATTTGCAAAATTTATAGCAAAGTAGCAATCATATAATCCCCAAGGTTAAGGAACGTTAGTGGACTTGAGAAAAAAGATTGATTTAGGCAGCAAAATTTTTGTACTGGAATTCCTGTCGGAGCTCCAAAAACAACTGACCTGATTACAAATATAGATTGCCATTATTTCAAATTAAAGTCTTAATAAGGTTACAACTTGAGGTTCTTTATAAGTTGTTCATTTTCTTCCTGTCAAAATCTGTGGCAAGTAAAAGAGGCTTATTTGTTCAAGTGGTTGTGGTTATCTCATCAGCTTCTAGCTTAGCCTTGCAGTGTCGAGAGTGAGCCGAGGATTAATGCAGTTTTTGATCAAAACAAGAAGATTGGAGGCAATAGTCATCTTTTCAGTAAACAGATTTTTTTATGTATTAATTAATGTGATCATTTTTTAAACACCTATTAATTAAAAAATAATAACTTGTATATTACATCAGTTGATATTAGAAAGTTAGATAAAAGTTAGGGATTGGGGACAAATTAGAACTATTTGTCTCAAGATTAAGCTGACACACAAAAACCTTTAGATTAATATTTGATAGATGGATTCGTTCCCTGATTCGAATCATAATTCGTGATTCGCTACAGTATTTTCTCTCACAAAAAATACACGTAAATCGAAAATGATTCTAATCCATGAACTAAACGCACTATAAGTGATTGAAATGTTGTCAACACACAAAACAGACTCATCTCTGAACAAAAAAACACTTCCATTTCTAGATGATACTTGTCAACTTAAGCCGAGAAGTATTTGTGCATTGATTGCCCCCAAACTTTCTAAGACATGAGAAGTTAATTCCCAAAAAGTAATACCTATAAAACATGGACACCCTTTTGCAATATCTATAAACTCGTAGTCAAAGCTTGGCTGGTTTAGAAAATAGAACCCTTTTCTTGTTGCAGATGGCACTACAAGGCACAAACTGCATACAGAAAAAACACGGTCAAGTTAACAATTTGTTTGAGCAAATACGAGGAACCAAGTGTACAAGCTTCAAATTATATATATATATATAGCGGACAAGCTTGAAAGAGTATTAAATTTGAAGATATATTTGGAGGGGGAAAAAAGGGAAAATAAATGGAAAACAAATATGAGCGCTCACTTGTAAACCGGGAGCAGTACGACAAGTAATTTACGATTACTGGGAGATTCTAGAGTGAGAGCGCCCTCCAATAAGGATTATCGATCTGTACGATTTAAATATGTTTACAAAGTAAGTACAAGGGTGACACTCAAAAAATCTTGTTTTGTATCTATTCTTGTATCTTATGGTCCTTAAACGGTATGACCTCTTATCGATAGCAAGCGTTTCCGACCGTCAGATGTAGTTAAAAACTTGCATTAAATTGAAAAGAATGTAAACCATTCAATTTTTTATCAAGACCTTCATATTTTTTCCAAAAGAACCATCACAGAAATTTCTAACATAATATGCATCACCAGTAAGTTTTACATTTCTCAATCAATGATAGTATGACGCTATCTCACAAGATTATAAAGCGCAAACAAATAAATAAATAAATAAAAATAAAAAATACTAAGAGGTCGTTTAGTCGATAGATTTAGAATCATAATTTAAAATTATTTTCAATTTACGTGTATTTTTTGTAAAAAAAAATACTGTAACGAATCATGAACTATGATCCGAACTATGACACGAATCCTTCAACCAAACGTCCCATAAATTTATTTTTAAGAATGTATGACCATGATTTTTATCTTTTATTCTTGATTATATTTTTACTAATATAGTTACTTGACTAAAAACTGCTAAATGGTTTTAGATTTAGAACAGAGATGTCGGCAGGCCAAAAAAAAGCCCAAAAGGCTTTCAAGCTTTTCAATGAGCACAATCATATGCACAATGAATCGGAAGGCTATAGGATGGCACATACAATTTTAACTGCAGTACTAGTCTTTCTGAGTAGTCAGAACTCAAATAAAATCATTAAGAATTGTTAAACAATGAATTTTACGTAGTAATAGCATGAAAATGTAAAGGCCTACAAGTTTTCTAATCTTTTTATCAACCATAAAAAGCTTCAACTCTCATAAGTTTGATGTGATACTACGTTTTATTAAGCAAATACAAGAAGAGGCCACGAATATCATGTTATGAAATTGAAAAAACGACAAAAAAGACAGCATAATCTAACAACCACAATTAAGTTAAAAGAAGGATGAAGAAGCACAATATTCAAATCTTCACGGATGTATATATTCATCAGATACAAAACGCCTTTAGTAATTAATTTGTCTATAGAAGATTGTGAACTCCACAAACACTAATAATAATCTTAATGACTTTCACAAGGTTCTGTAACAATCAGACTCAGACCAACACTTTTTTTTTTCTTTTTTTTTTGTGGGGGTAAAATCAAAAGCATAATCTTAAATTCTTAATGACAAGACAAGCATATGAACCATCATTTTGCAGTCTAGCTGAGGCAATCCCCTGTCGCTTTTTTTTCTTTTCCCCTCTTTTTCACACGCACCTTTTTTGCAGCTGGTTTCAAACTTCCCACTCCTCCAGAGTTTGACTTTGGGAGTTGGCAGCCAGAAAGCAGTCAACTTTCAGACACTGGCTAGTTTCTGTTTTGGGATTTCTCCACCGCCCTTGGAGCTAATGGGAACAAACCAAAAAGGAAGACAACAGTACCAAACTTGTTAACCTTGAGAATTCTCGGACAAGAACGAGTTAAAAACACACATTGCTAACCAAACATAATGAGCAGAGCTAGAGGATATCTATCACAGGCCCCTATCTCCACAGCCATCCCCTATTTCATGCGGAGCCGGGGGCTCATGGAGCCCCTCAGCATTTGTGATACATAATATGGTATCACCTTTGTAAGTCCTTACGGAATCTGGTAACTAATCCATATTCTATGGAGACTTTTCCCCATCAGACAAGCACCAGAAAGCATAAGCTAATACCAATTAGAAATAATGGCCAATGTTTGTTTTCTTTAACGCATCAACAAAGACAGTCTGGGTTACCTAATCATGGCTTTAAACATCCAAACATACTAGAAGTAATCGAACGTCTGCTAGAACAAATTCACAACCAGGACTTCATTAATTATTAAGTGTGTGACAACAACAAATCTCGGAACATTAATTTTCCAATTTCCTATGAAAACAATTCCCCCTCCCCGGCACCCAATCATTGGACTTAGAACCTAATGCATACATTTAAGATAACAACTAAAGCAAAGAACAGTTTTGGTAAGATCCAAGTACCTAGACATGTGTACCTATAATCCTATTTGACAATATCTTGATTTATTATGCACATCTAAATATTCAAATTAACATACTAGGAACCGTGCAACCAAATCGTGTTAATAGCTATTGAAGAGTGCTTATGATAATCAGAACAAATAAATTGTAGAGGGAAAAAAATTACCTAAGCCAATTGCATCTGATCCCTTCATGATCTTCAATTTCTTGCATGAATCAATAAACATCCTGAGACAAAACCAAATTCAAGTTACGCTACGTGTACTGAATAAATGACGCCTGTGAATGGGAATTTCAAAGCCAAATTGGTAGTAACTTCGTATTAAATAGTAAAAGCTATAAAGGCAAATTGGTTCAAGTTAGATGGTCCATGTACCAGCAAAGACGAGGCAAGTTTAAACTAAAACCAGAAGGACTTAGGGAGGCAAATGAATATGAGCTGAATTTTAGGGCCTAGGAGTCATACAAGACCCATACATTGAATGCTGGCTGCAAAATCATTTTTAACTTTAGACGAATGCACACTATTATTGTTGGTTTATATCTCATATGAATAATTGCACATGCCCAAGTAATATGACCAAGTTTATTGAAATACGTATATGGTCAAGTTATCACAATATCTACTATTCCAATATAATGCCCTTCTACTTGCTAATCACATATTTATGCATCAAATCATACTAATATAAATGCATATTATGCTATACAAATGAAGCACCCACCCTTCTGAAGTTCAAGGACCTAATCTCTCTTTTTGAGCAGGGAACAAAATATCGATGTAATCCCTAAATATCGATGCATGTCTAACATTTACCCCAAATCTCAAACAGAGTCAATGAAATTAATTTAATAATCCGAATTTGATAAAATTTGATAATTCCTTCACACTTATGATTAATTTTAGCTTCACAAGAAAGCAATAACAAGAAGTTGCATTGCGCATGGTAAATTGAAACTTACTCCCAAGGAACATCACCAACAAGCATCCAATCACCATCCTTGTCCTCATATGTAAGCACGTATTCAGAACCATGAAGGAGATCCCTTAGCTTACTTTCACTCATTTTTTCCTTGCCTGGAGCTCCATGGGATCCACACTGGCCTGAAAGCACAATAAAGCACAGTAGTTGGGTCCATGACAAAATGGGTGTTTTCCATATTAGAATGTTATACATATCAAATTAGACACATGCATTAATCGATAACGAAGCAAAGTAAACCATTTATCTTTAAACCTCCCCCTAATAAGAACAAGAAAAAGGAAGGGCATCAGATCATTGTCTAAATATAAGCAATAAAAAAAGCTCACCTATTGTAAAACAGCTGAACATCTTTTCAAGTGCAGAAGACAGCTCTTGATATGTAGCATAAGTTCTCAGATCTACCTTCCTCAGATAGGGAGCACCATCCATGCTAACCTTGATGAAAAGAGCGCCAGGACTTGGTTTCCCATCAACTTCCTCATTGTTCTTCGAAGTGGTGGCCAGTGAATTCTTCCTAAATGATCGTATTGGAGGCCAACCAACAACTTGTGTCCTGCCAAGACAGATATCAACAAATTTAAGTACAAACACATGAGAAAACATAATAATGTACTATTTTCTCTAAAAAAGCTAGACCTTTGTATAAAGGGGTTCACTTACTTTGCAGCTGGAGGACTGTTGTTAGAAGCGCCAACGTGGTTATGGTTGACTCCATTAGTAGCACGAGATCTTTCTTGTAACCCCTTTGCAGGCACCTCTTTCATTATGGCTGGCTGGGTAGCGGAGGCCCTTGATGGTAGCATCATATTTATCTTCCCTTGTGCCACCGATTGTGGAGAATCGGGATCAGAACCAGCTGTATACCTCCAGTTTCCTTCGCCATACACTGAAGTTTTCACCTCCGAGAATCCATCCATTGTATCAGAGAACCCTCTTTTGTTGCCCAAAACAACATTCTTCTGCGACGAGGAGCAGATCCCATCTTTGGAAGGAAGTAAAGGAAACAGTTGCTTCTCATCAAGTTTACTGGAGCCCAGCAAAGAAAGCTCAGGTTCCCGTTCTGGTGACTGGGATCCAGGAAGACCAAGCCTCAATTCTGTAGCCTTAAAATTCAGATTGTTCTTGTTCTCCTCGGACAAGCTCGATACTGCAGAGCTGTCGACTGAAGAACAATCTGACAATCCCAGGTAATTCCACTCTTTTAATCCCGAGCCATTTTGGGAGATACAATCAATAGTGGGTGAGGAAGCCACCAGAGAACTGTGCCCTTCCTCTTCACCACCCAGCAGTGGTGGAGACATCAGACTTTACTAATCAAAACTGCACCTCATGAAAAGAAACGATTTCGAATTACATCAACACCCAAACAAGGAACGAATGGGGGGGAGCGGAAACATGAGAGGTGGATATAAAAAGCTCTATGTACATTGAAAGTCAGATTGGAAGTACTTAAACTGCATTGAGTCCGTCAATGCAAATAACACCAAACAGAAACTGAAACTAAAGATTCAAACTTTACCCTGAACACCAGATAGATACAAACTCTATATTAAAAAGTACATAAAATTAATCAACATAAAGCAAATTGGTATACATAACATTAAATAAAAATAATACACAATAAATAATATGTAAAAACAGAAGAAACGGACAAACTAAATCAACATCAGCAATAAACTACGCAGCAAGCATAAATACACAACAAATAGACTGCAAAACATTACAACAGTCAACAACAAGAGGAAATAAATAAAAGAAAATATTTTTGGGGCCGGTTTTCAATTGAAAGTTCAGAGTTAATGACACACTCAAAAACATAAAAGCGGGTAAAAATAAAAAACAATAACGGAACCAAATAAAAGTCAAGGACAAAGGTTCTATCCAAACCTAAAACAAATGTAAAGGTAAAAACAAAATCTTATAAATAAATAAAATAGAGAAAAAGGCCAAATAGTCGGCCAAATCTTGTTATTCTTTTGGTTGGTCGGTATGTAGTATTCATACGGAGGATAAAATTAAAGAACTTTTTTTTTTCTCAACTAAAAAAATTTCTAAAAGTCAACTCGGAATTTATCATTCATTTGCAATACATGAACTTATCAATTTTTCTTTTTTTCTTTTTTTAGCAACTCACCGGTCAAACTTGAAGAGGTTTAACTTCTTTAATGACCTATCCTCGATTTCCCCAAAATTTCCCGGACGCCAAACAGGCCAGAAAAAGGAGAAATAGAGAAAAAAAATAAATATATATATATATACACAATATACTGAACTAAAAAAACAAATATACATCTACAGCAAGCTAAAAATTGAAACATCACAGTCTCCCTAGAACTCCAAAAAATCAAAACTTGGAAAAAAAAATAAACAAAACTTCTAACTAAAGAACAGAAGGAAAAGAAGAATCACAGAACGGAGTTATCAACATTCAACATGAAGCAATGGATTGAGCTAAAAGAAGTCACAGAACCAAATGAAAATCTCACAAAACAGATTTCAACAAACAAAAAACTCAAACCAAGCACAAAATCGAAAATAATTCCATTAAAAATAGAGAGAGAAAATTCTTGAGGCGTACCTGGAGCTTTTGTGGATCAGACAAAGGAAGAGAACGGTGACCAAGCTTTTTCGAAAATCCGAAGCTGGAAAATGCAAGCACACAGAGGAGAGAGAAAGAGAGAAATAGAGAGAGAGGGAAAGAAGAGAGAGTAGGAAGAGAGAGAAAGAGGAGAGAGAAGTTAAGGACCTTCCATTAAGCAGAAAGCAACAAAAGCTTTTTAGGCCTTGTTTGTGCTGGCCGAGGAACTCGTAGTAGTAGCAGTCTCGGAGAGAGAACACTATTATAATAAAATAAAATAAAATAAAATAAATAATAATAAAAACTGAAAAGCCGCAGGGGCAAAACCGGAAAATCGTGCAGAAAGCTTGTCGTATTTTTTACTATACTTTTGTTTATTATAAAAAATAAATATAATAAAATAATAAGCTTTTTTTGCTAATCTGCTTCGTTCATTTCGCGGATTCAAGTTTTTAATTTGAATTGAGATGTGATATTTTATGAGAACTTTTTACTGCAACAAAAAAAGTAAGATGTGACATTTTTTGAAAGTTTTTTACTGTAAAAACCTAAAACTAAAAACTCAAATCTGTAAAATAAACGAGGCAAGTCTTTTATTTTTTTTAACCTTTTCGGGTACCTTCATATACTGAAGTCTCGTTTATTTCACTGATTTGAGTTTTCAGTTTTTAGTTTTTACAGTAAAAAGCTTTCAAAAAATGTCACATCTTATTTTTTTTTACTACAGTAAAAAGTTCTCATAAAATATCACATCTCAATTCAAATTAAAAACTCGAATCCGCGAAGTGAACCAGATCTTTGGTTTGAGCCTTCAAGACAGGATTTGATATATCATAGCAATATCCTTCCATCTTAAACCTCATTTATTTTACTAATTTAAATTTAAAATTTGAGTTTTACTATTATAAAAAGCTCTTAGAAAGAATTATATTTAATTTTTTTATTACAATAAAAAATTCTCACATAAAATCACATCTTTAACTCAAATTAAAAATTTAAATTAATAAACTAAACCAGTTCTTAAAATATTTTGTCTCTTCTTTTAAAAAAATAAATAATATTCGTCTGAGGGAGTGATTAGTGACTGAAAAGAAACTAAACATGGTTTCCGGTTTGGCTAAAACAGGCCTGATTTTCGCAAAAGAAGGTTTCTGGTTCGGTTCTAGTTATAGCTGAAGGGCATTGCTCTGGATCTAAAATGTCGGATATACCCCACTTTTAACTTTTATTGACGAATGTACCATTTGTGTTTCATTTATGGTTGGCCATTTGGCCCATTTCTATCTTTTGTTCATTCCTATATCCATTATATTTTACAGAAATTTCTATATCAATAATGGAGGCTGATAAATGAGAATAACGAAATAAGAAAATAAATAAAAGTTCTTCGATAGCTGGAATGTAAAAATATAAAACTGTACCAATATCTCTCAAAAAATAAGAGAAAAGAAAAGAAAAAGAAAAACTCTCTAACAATTAAAAAAATTGGGTAAAATTTTCTTTACCGATTACAAATATATATAATTATGATGATATATCTCAATATGTAATCAAATAATTGTAACACTTGGAAGACATTTGTTGAATGCACTATATGTGAAAAATATATCGTACGGATTTTTACACTAGTTAAAAGTATTTGGTAACCCTTGGAAAAGATAAGTATGAAAGTAGACATTTCAAGCCGTTTAGTTCGCTGAGATGTAATTTTATGTGAGTTTTTTATTGTAGTAAAAAATTTAGATATAACTGTTTCTGAGAGTTTTTTACTGTAACAAAACTTGAATTTTAAACTCTAATCGGTAAAATGAACGGGATTCATTTATCATTTATGTTCCCTAGCAAACTGGCCAGGTTATGGGATATTGTTTTGGTTTTTTATTAGCAGAGAGTTATGGCTTTATTCTCCAAAATATCAATGCCTTTAAGATATTTAAAGTATACCAGACAAAAAAAAAATCTCAAAGTACGTAGTGGTGAAATTGAGTTAACTTTCAATGAATGTAATAAGTTTTCCAAATAATTCAAAGAGAAAAAATAGTACCAAGTAGCAAAAATTGGCATTTTATACCGGAATGGCCATTGCAAAGTACGAAGACTAAGGTCATTGTGTTTAGCCAAAAGTATTAGGTCCCAACCGAGAATTTGGCTAAAATAATAAAGTGAAAAAGTAAAATTAAGAAAATGACTTTTTAATTAATAAGAATTATAACTCGTTCCAGAGAAAGTTTACCGCTGGAAAAAAATCCCGGTCTTACTTTTGGCATTCTTCAACCACTGCTTGAACAATGACGAATCAATGGCATTCCTGTAAAATCAAATACCAAGATTTCAACTCTTATTGCTCCTGTTTTTTAATGGTAGATCATTAAAGGACAAAAAAAAGAGGGATTAACTCGTTGGAATTCTGTGTCGGAGATACTAGGGGCGGCGACGACTTGGACGGACTGGGAAAGTTGATTCGGGAGCGTAATAGAGTGAGTGAGGGTTGACGAGTTGGTCGACATTTTGCGGCGAAGGGCTCTGGAGGGAGAGTGGAGAGGAGAGAGATTGTCATATTTAAAAAAAAAATCATTTTACAAATAAAAATTTTTGAATTGTCATTTTATGAATAAAGCTTTTCTATTAGATTATTTATACAAAGAGCTCGTCCCGACCACTCTTTGTCACCACCCACAAAACCTAACTTGTGAAACTTATCAACTTGAAAAACAGATAAATATGTCTTGAAAGAAAATAACACACGGCATTAAGTATCACATGACATGAAATTGCTATGAAAATCAATGACCTTATACCATATGATATTTACCACATCAAATAATCATAAGTATCAATGACATTGGTTTCTTTTGTTAAAAACATAAAATAAAATAAAATAAAAAGAAGAAGGATGTGAGTACAAACCTAGACTTTATAATTAGAGATGTAAATACAAGGGCACTAAGATTGAGGAGAAAATAATTTTTTTCTATAAAAAACAAATAGAAATCTTATCAATAGTGCATGTTTCTAAAATTTACATATAATTAAAATAAAAATAATAAAATTTGATATAAATTTAACAGTTAAAAACAAAACTATATCGGAAAGATTGTTTTTTTTCTTATCCCCACCCTAGAGAACCACCCTAGAGTCTATAACAAGAAAATACGTATTATGTTTGTAAAAAAAAGGTATTGGGTTAGTCACACAAATAATTCATGAGGTTTACCATCAATTTCATTTTTATCTTTGACTTTTAAAATATTTCACAGTTAGTCTATGAGGTTTTATTTTATTTCAGTTTTGGTCTTTTCGTCTGCTTGGTATTAAATATTTAACAAAATCTTTAAAAATTAAGGACTAAAATTAAAAACATCTAAAATTTAGAGACTAACACAATACAAAAATAAAAGTTAATTTCCACATATAGTCCTTAAATTTTAAACATTTTTAATTTTGATTTATAATTTACACATATTTCACTATATATTTAATACCTAGCTAATTGAAAGATCAAAATTGAAACAAAGTAAAATTTTATGGACTAATTGAAGACGTTTTAAAAGTCACGAACTAAATTGAGATTAAAGGTAAATCTCATAATGTATTTGTGAGATTAACCCAAAGGTATTTAGCCCTCGTTTAATTCGCTAGTTTGAATTTTATTAATTTAAACTTTTTAATTTAAACATAAAAATTCAAACTGTGTAGTTTAAATTGTATTTTGAATTGACGTTTAGATGTACAGTTAAAGTTTTAATTTAAACATGTAATAAAATTCAAATTTGTGTTTAGTATGTATGAAAAGCAGAGAGAGTGAACACCTTTTTACTGTTTAAAAATGATTTGAACGGTTGAACTTGAGGGGGAGCTAAACTCTAAGAACCCATTTAGTTCGCTGATTTAAAATTTTAATTCGAGTTTAGATGTGACTTTATGTGAGAACTTTTTATTATAACAAAAAAGTTAGATGTGACTATTTTTAGAGTATTTTAGGCCTCGTTCATTTCACCGATTCGAGTTTTCAGTTTTAGGTTTCTACAGTAAAAAGCTCTCAGAAAATATTAAATCTAACTTTTTTTACTACAGTGAAAAGCTTTCAGAAAATATTACATCTCAGCTCGAATTGAAAACTCGAATCCGCGAAGTGAACGAGGCCTTACTGTATTAAAACTCAAATTTTAAACTTAAGTCGGTAAAATGAACGAGATTTAAGTTAGACTATTTAACTCAGATCGAATGAGAAATATAGTTCAAATTATATATTTACTAAATATCAATTTAAACTGTGCTCACTGTTTAAACTGAATTAAAATTAGTAAAATAAATGAGGGCTTAATTGTTTGGGAAGGCGTGAAAGTGAAAGGGGCAAAATGGGAAAAGAAAAGAAGGAGAGAGAATCAAAAGAGATTGCGGATATAAAAAAACGTAAGGAGCATTAATGGGGGAAGGGGACAGAGGAAAACAGGGTGAAGAAGTGTGATTGGGGGACATGAAAGCGGCATTTGAAGTCGCTTTGCCGGGTGCTGACCAGGACAGCTGACCAGGACAGCTAACCTCTCCCCTCCATCACTTTCATTTTCCATCATTACCCTTTCTTTCTTTCTCTCTACAATTATTATTGTTTTTAAAAATAAAACATAATGATTTTACAAGAAAAAAAACACTATATGTGAAATAATTTTGGTAAACGGGTTTTTCTTTTTGGTCTTATTTTATTTTAGGGTCATTTTTTGATAAAGTGTTGTATGACGTTTGGTTCATAAATTTAAATTATGTGATTAGAATTATTTTTTATTTATGTATATTTTTTATAAGAAAAAATATTGTAATAAATCACGAAGTATGATTCGAATCAGAGAACAAATTTAGGTACCAAACAGGCTCTGACTATTAATAACATTAATTTTGTTTCTTAAATTTAATTAAAATCATATCGATTAAAAAATATAAATATAATGGTCAATTTTTTATATAAATATAACAGCTAAAAATAAAATCATTTTAATAGTTTATTTTTATGATGTTTATAAAAAAAATCTCTTATTTTATGAGAGTTCTTCTAATAGAATCTATTAACCGGTAAAATTATTTTTTATTATTAATTTAATTAAAATCACATTAAGTTAAAAAAATATACAAAATAAGACAATTTTGATACAAACGGCTGAAAACAATAAAAACAATTAATTTTCGATTTCAGTAATTATATTTTCATGAAGTACTATTAAAACTCTATT